TAATGAGTTCACTTTCAAATATATAGTAGTGTTCGACATTCTACACAATTTTGTCGTTCGTCATACTATCCAAATCGCTTCTGAGAGATGATAATGGCTAGTGTCTGCAAATCACGCGTATATTTTAACAGAATGTTTCTTTTTATCACGATGTATAAAAACGGAAAAATGAAAACGTTGAATACCGCGTGTGATTCTTTGAGTAGTGTAAAGTTCGAAGATCCACTTAGACTTTTGGTTTCTCTCAGACTGTTAGACTTCTAGACTTTTAATCTCACATCTGAGTTAGATTTTCAGACTTTTAGACGTTTAGATATTATACTTTTGTTAGACTGTGAGACTTTTCACTTTTACATATGAGTTCGACTTTGGAACGATTGGACAAGAAGAAGGTCCGAATCACCTGTTACTCATAAAGCCAAACAAGAGCAGAGAGGACGCTAGTGGCTCACTCTTAGACTTCCACCAACAGTCAGCTCTCGTGCAGGGTAAACTTCAGAACTAAGTCAACATCAGTCCGAAAGTCTAATAAAAGTCAAATAGTCTGAAAGTCGACCCGATATGTAAAATGAAAGGTCTAAAAGTCTGAATATAGCTGTCTGTTTTTCTCTCGTTTGTTAGACTTTTGAGAAGTCTGAGTCAATCTTCGAGCTTTACATGTATGGAATCTTTTTGATGTGTTTAAACAATTGAACTTAACATCATATGTTAGAAAGATATAGATCTGAGCTATGTAATGTGAAGCTAATTATCTTTCGGACTTATTTGGCAGTGAATTGTGCATTAAAATTCCAAGTATTTGACCCAACATTTCTACTTTTACCTCAAGTCTCTATTGAAGCCTCTCGTTTTACCTCGACTAAAATAAAAAGGAACAGATAAAGAGCGCTCTCCGAAATTTGCATCTGACTCAAAGACTACCCGACATTTTTGACAGATTTTTACATCAGTGTGTAGAAAACATTTAATCTATCGTCATGCTCACCAGCAAGTTTCAAAGCTAAATAAATTATGAAATCTATGTTTAGAATAACTTTAACAATGGGAAACGAAGTTAGTTTATTGAAAGAAAGGAAAATATTATCCATCGAATCGAATAAACTTCTGCTACAATTAGCTGACGTTGTAAACACTACTGCAATTAACAAGGAAAGCATAACACTGATATGGTTCGACAAAAATATCAATGTGAATGAAGATACTAAAGAAACTGCAAGAAGACTTCGTGAAATAAATGACTATGTCGTGTGTCATAAGCAGCTTGAGGAATGCGTTGAATATATAAAATCTATTCAAAATGAAAAAATATTTATCGTCACCTCGGGAGCTGGTGCTCTAGATATTTTACCGTTTCTTCAGAACTGTACACAAATTGATTCCATATTTATATTTTGTATGAGACGGGAAAAGTACGAACATTTACCAGATGAATATCGGAAGATAGTCAGCGTATTCACAGATAGAGAAGAATTAATCAAATCGATTAAAGAGAATATTGAGCTAGTTGAAAAACATCTTGAAACATTCAGTTTTTATGATAACAATCAAAAATCAACAAAAGATTTATCTAAGGAACAAGCATCTTTTCTTTGGTTTCAATTGTTTAAAGACATTATTATTCAAATGCCAAAGACAATTGAATCTAAACAAGAAATGATTAAAACATGTAAAGAATATTACCATGGAAATGAAGTTGAACTGGATTATATTGAAAAATTCGATAGTACATACAAGCCGGAAGATGCTATCACATGGTATACAAAACAATGTTTTGTTTACAAAATGATTAATAAGGCATTAAGAACCGAGGATATTGAACAATTGTACATTTTTCGATTTTATATTGCCGATCTTAGTAGTTCACTCTCACAGGAAAAGGAGAAACAAAATTTCGATCTTATTCACCTTTATCGTGGCACAAAATTATCATTGGATGAATTGGATATGTTACGAAATAATGAAGGAAAGTTGATGTCAATGAACGGTTTTTTGTCAACGAGTCAATCTCGAGAACAGGCTCTAATTTTTGCTACAAAATTTACCAAACGTACTGACTTATTACAAGTTTTATTCGATATTGAAGTTGAGCAAAACCAATCAGGTTCTATTTTTGCTGATATAGCTAAATGCAGCTGTTATCCATATGAAGAAGAGGTGCTGTTTGATATAGGATCTGCATTCGAGATTCTAATGGTAACCTACAATGAAAGACGAAATCTCTGGACGGTGAGTTTAAGAGCAACCAATCAAGGCACGGAAGCGGCAAAAGAATGGATCAGTATGAATCGAAACGAAATAAAAGCTACATCAGTCGCAATCATGTTCGGTACTCTTCTTGCTGAAATGGGCGAATACAATAAATCACTAAAATATTTCGAAAATCTAGCGCAGAATCCTCAAGAAGAAAATTTGTCTCTAATCTACGATAATATTGGTCATGGATATCGACTGAAACGCGACTATGACAAAGCACTTTGTAATTACCAACGAGCCTATGATCTATCGCTAAATGCTCAACCATCACGTGTCCAAGACACTATGAGAATATCAAATAACATCGGCGTTGTTTACTACGAAATGAAAGAATATAAAACGGCGCTTGAACATTTTGAAAAAGCACTACCCGTCTTAGAAGAACATCATAAAAAGAATAGACAAACGGCTCATACTCTGAATAATATTGGTCTCGTCTACAGTGAACAAGGCGACTATGTTCGTGCCCTGGAATATTTAACGAAAGCTCACAGAATGCGAGAAGCAATGCATAGCAAACATCCAGATACTGCAGCAAGTCTGAGTAATATTGGAATGGTTTATCATTATAAAAGATTTTTTGAGACCGCTTTAACTTTTTATGTGAGAGCGTTGGAAATGTACACGGAATTGTTACCTCAGGGACATTTAAATATAAAACAAACAGAAGAAAACATTAAATTGACCAAAGGGCAGCTTAATAAGAGTTCAACGTAATCATGAACAATATACTGATTTCAATACGAGAAGGTAATACTTGTGGCGAAATATTCAATGGTGTATCTTTAGACGATTCTTCATCGGACGATGCATTTATATTTGGTTTGTTGCTCATTCGACGTTCTTCTGCTGCGAAACAGGCTGTACATGAAAACTTTTCGTTTACCGTTGATACTCTTGAACCATATGTTCTCGATAACCCTATAGAAAAAAGTGTCGATCGGCAGGCATTCAGGAGGTATGCGCATAGTTGCCGAAAGATTACAAATTTCAGATGGCAATCCTCCATACGTCTCTCTACCTGTAAGTTTTATGCTTGAACTTTATTTACCAAAAATGGAAGGCCATGAAAAAAAATAGCTAAACAAAGGAATATAATGTAGTCTTATTGACTCCTGCCCTGTTTGAGGCAAAATGCGCGTAATAGCAGACCTGCGCATACATGCCAGATGATTGTCTCTTTATTCATCTTTTNTAGTTGCCGAAAGATTACAAATTTCAGATGGCAATCCTCCATACGTCTCTCTACCTGTAAGTTTTATGCTTGAACTTTATTTACCAAAAATGGAAGGCCATGAAAAAAAATAGCTAAACAAAGGAATATAATGTAGTCTTATTGACTCCTGCCCTGTTTGAGGCAAAATGCGCGTAATAGCAGACCTGCGCATACATGCCAGATGATTGTCTCTTTATTCATCTTTTCGTTTTGTTTGACTTACAATTATTTAAAAAACATTTCCTAAATTGTCTTGTCTATGCCTTTGTCCAAAACGATATACTATATCGTTTTGGGCAAAGGCATAGACAAGACAATATCAATATGTTTTCCTATTCCTCTCTATAGTTCAATTTTGAATAGCCGTTGACAATACAGAAACTATATCCATGATGGTACTAGCAGCGGCGTAACCAGTATTTTTAGTACAATGGGCAAACTTCTATTGTATCGACAAAAAAACGATGGGCAAATGGGCAAGGTTTTTGTCGATGGGCCAAAAGATTTTTGGTCCAAAAAGAACACGAAAAAATGAAATGAGATCCTTTTAATTTTTGAATTAGATTGTAATTCAAAATAAACAAATAATTCTGCATAAGGCACTCTTATAAATATCTTTCTAAGGGTTATACAAAAAGAAAACGGCTGAGTATATCTGCTAAGTAAAATTACAATGGGCAAATCCCGAAATGAAATGGGCAATTGCCCATTTACCCCCCCTCCCCCTTGGATACGCCGCTGGGTACTAGTAATGCGATTGAATTCGATATTTTTTCGCGAAATGGCAGTTGTTGAACATTCGAATGTTCATTCATCTTCTTCTATTCTTTATGGATGGATATTCATTCTCTCTTCATAAATTCGAAAAGTGAAATATATTCAGGCCGTTCCAGTCGTCAGTTTATTCAGGTTCATCTTCATATTTTTCATTCTGTTTCCACACATTGAAAGAAAATGAAGGTTAGATTGTTCATTTGTACATTTCGAAATATTGGGAAGGATTATGTTTACGGTCCTTACTCATCAAACTTAAATAGCGCTGAACATATACACAATAATAACCGCAGTCAATTGTAACACGAAAACTTTAATTTTGCTAAGAAGTCCAAAAAACTGATGTTTTCCTTTCTGCGATTGATATATATCTGAACATCTGAATAAAATACACATTTTATTCTAGTTCTATATAAAACATGAAACCCTAGGCATACATCCCAGTTTCATATCTGAACAAAGCAGAAATACATTCTGTAAATCTGATAGTCCAATTCAGCATCAGAAAAGACCTACACGAGAGTATTTTCATTGAATGGTGTGTACAATACAGATAATACCTCGAAATACCACTAGTTTCAAAGACCCATAGCTCAAACATCCTGCTCGGATCACCATTTTTCTCCATCAAAATATATACCATTTGAGACACTCTCTCATTTCAAATCGCTGACGAGAATTCATCTTGAATAGGTATGCACCAATACCGGTACCAGTACCAGTAAAAGTGCTCCACAAAAGTTTAAGACCTGTTTTGTTTTTGCCAAAATCTTGTTTTAGTTAGAGCGGAGAAATCGAGGTTTTTCCATTTTTTGGACCAACTCTAACTAAAAGAAGTTTTGGGCGATAAAGACATGCTCAAAAGCTGAAAGTTTGATCAGCAACTGATAACCCGTAAACTTTCTATCGAATGATGTATGTTTGAATTCTTTTTGGGCAATTCTCTTGGTTAGGAAACGTGAAATACTCAGGAAGTAAGATTTTCCAATTGTGTGAAACACCCCATTTTTGCTTTAACTCAGTCAAATTAAGCCGGAACTATAGTTTGAACCGTGGAGATTTGTCTTTTTTCTTTTCGTCAACAATAACTTTTCCTCATGATATTTTAGAGTATATCGTTATGATCTAACGGCCAAGGAAAAAAAAGTGCTTCCTTTCGTGATTCTTAGACGTTTTTTTTCGGCAGTTTTTCTTTGCCTTACATTGCAGAAGACTTGTAACCAATAATTATCCATTCAAAATAAAATTTGAGCTTGGTTTCGTCTAAATGCACTTAGACTGTATTAGTGATTTGAATAAGTGCACACATANCTCAAATTTTATTTTGAATGGATAATTATTGGTTACAAGTCTTTTGCAATGTAAGGCAAAGAAAAACTGCCGAAAAAAACGTCTAAGGCCGTAGCAACGCCATCCTTTGGCCGTTAGATCATTATACTTCGCCAACAAATATTACTTCCAGTGAGTCACTGTGATCGATTACCTCTTTGACAGCATTTTCGTCCAATCAAGTTGAAAAAAAGTGTGAACCTTCTCATTAAGTTGTGTAGCACACTGAGAGTTATTGCGCTAGATCAGATGGGTCTTCCTCAAGGGGGAAACAACTGACTCCACTTGACTCCAGTCGTATGGAGTCATCAGGAGTCAAGTGAAGCCCAGAGTCTGCTGTTTGACCCTTGCTCACCCACCTAAGAGGGAAACAATGGGGCCCGGTCGTATGGAGTCAGATTGAGTCTGCTATTTATCCCTTGTGCACCCACCACTAGGACTGTTACAGTTCCAATTCTAGAGAACTCGTGAAAGGTTCTCTAGGCCCGGAATTGTCACACTGCTGGCAAATAATGTAGTGATTACTCATAACTACTCATGTTTAAGGGTTTTGGCTTAGCTAAACAGGGTTTTGGCGCTGTTTTTCATTGAATTTTAATCAATAAAACCAGCTTTTCTGTCAATTTGCCGTAGACCAACTTTCCAAATACCGTCCTTTGTAAACTTTCTTGTTCATATTTACCTGAAGAAATCCACTAAAATGAATGTGATAAATTAAGAAGGTAGATTTACCCACTTTGTTTATCAGTAGTTTATAATAAGCAATTCAGTTGTTCTTATATATGATGCCTTAGATAAACTAGAAGCAAAATTTAAATCATCTATGTATAGGCATGCACCAGTTACAGTTAACTCTAAAACTGTAACTGTATAACTGTTATAAGTGTAACTGCTGATATTGTAGACAAATATTCTAGAATGAGTTAGTCTTGTACGATTTGCATACATTTTAAGGATGTCTCTTCTCAAAATGTATGTGAATCGTAGAAGACTAACTCATTCTAGAATACTTGTCTACAATTATCAGCAGTTACAGTTAACTGGTAAAAACTGTAACTGGTCCATACCTATCTATGTAGGACTGTAAAAGTTCCCGTTACGTTGATTAAACACTAACTCTTTTCGTTATCGTTAACGTAACGATAACTGCGTTTCCGGTTATCGTTGAAATAACGGTAACTATCAGTTCGTTAACTTTATGGTAACTGTTTTTTTAAGTATGCCAGAAATATCCACGCAGCGGTTTAAAATGACTTCCAAAATCGTTAGTTTTTCACTAAAACTATTAAAGCTTTCACAAACGACATGGTTTTGATTGACGTGTGTAAGAATCAATTAAACATGGTGCTGTGGAATTTCAGAATACGATGACAATCATTTTCTGATTGTCTACAGTTAAACTCGTACAAGTCATCGAACCAAAGTCGGTTCACGGAGCTCAATGAAACTCAAAATTGCGAGGTGGAATTTTTACGGAACATGAAGCCTGTTTTCCTGATTCTACAGAAATTAAAATCCATTTTGACTGATGTAGCATTATATAGATATCAATTAAATTAGCACCATATAGAGCGATTTTATCCATAACCTAAGTATATCTGCGATTTCTTTAACATCAGGAAAATTGGCTTCATATTTCGTGAAAATTCCGCCTCGCTGTTTTGAGATTCATCAAACTCAAAATTTTCACTTGAGGGGTGAGGGCGAGTTTGCTGCAGAGTCCGTTTCACCAAATCACGTAGTATCAATGAAAAAGACAAATAGACTAAATGGTACGTCCATATAAAATGGTATCAAAGAAGTTTTTTGCTCCGCTTCGTTTTCATTCTATTTTCACGATCACAAAAATCAAAAATATCGATTACTGCTTTTAGTACTTAAGCGAGAGTTTTACTCTAATTTCGATTATGCCGGTGGTACGAGTTCTTGTTTTTCACATATAACAACATATTTCGCTGTAGGCGTGCACGAATTTCGACTAAAAATCGAATAATCGATATTCGATTATTTTTGATTTTGAATACTCGAATTTCGATCAATCGAAATCGGTGCATGACCGACTCATAAGCTGCCTTCTAGTAGATAAAAATAACATAAGAAATTTTGGTATTTATTATTTGAATTTTGACTAAAACTCTCGAAAAAACAAAAAACTTTGAATTTGAATTCTGTCCAAGAAATTTCTGGTCAAAAGGTTTTGGTTATTTTTGGGGTTTCTGAAAAACTGGTTCTCCACAAGACCGAATCTTCGAAGGGCTATGGGGGAATCCCCATAGTCATATTCAGAATCAGCATGGTAGATAACCTATAACCCACCAGATTTCGATCAAAGAGCGATTTATCACCTAGGGGCTTAAGTCAAGATCTGTTGTAGATCGTGATACCAGAATCCTGCCAA